ATTCCTGTGGGCCTCATCCCAGTGGCTCCAGATGTCGTAACTGCTCTCTTTGTCAAGTTGGTTATTTCATGCACGCCAAACAGATGTGTGTCAAGTGTCCTGCAGGTGACAAAAGATATTTAAAATGTTTCATGTCACAGTTAATTAATTTTGGAATACCAATAACATTACTAGAGAAAATTCTAGCTGTTGTTAGTTACGTTCTTGTAATAGAAGAGGTCTCAAGCTCGGTCACTCCGAGTGCTAGTATCCTAACTTAAATTTTCCCTCTATCCCATTGTCGTTTCCTTTGCTCTCGTTTTTAAAGCTTTCATCCCTGCCTTCTTTTTTTCATTAGTTGGTTCTGCGTATAAAGTGAGCTGGTGCCTGTAGGGCCACTGCCAATAAGGCCAGTTTTCACTCATAATCAGTTTTTACTTCTTACATAACATCTGGTGGCTACCGTTTCATTTCCGTTGTGGTTTTATTTCCTGTTTTACTTACGTTGCTTGTCACGTGACAATTTCACGTGCTTTGACATTTTGGAGAGAGTTTTACCTTCGTGTAGCTGTTTTGGTTCGCAAAACAGTTCTTTAACGTGATTGTGATTGTGATCGTGATTGTGTTATTGTACGTTATCTTGTGACGCTACATAGGCATTAAAGGCGAGAGCTACATCTCTTCACAGGTGGTTTTTATCAGGATGAATTGGGACAAGTTGATTGCAAAAGATGCAGCATTGGTACATTTGTGTCTGAAACGCGACATCCTGGGACAAGTCCTACGGACTGTGTGGCATGTCCATACGGTAACTGATGTTTTGTCTCTGAGACACTCTTAAAATTTTTCACCATGAAAACTTCTCCCTGCATGACATTCCATGTGTGGTTCATTGCGTTGCAGAGAAAAGAAATACTTTTCTTCTTAATCCAAAACGGAAACGGCCGGCAAATTGATTTCTCGCCAGTCTGAGTACCGCTGGACGCCATTTTGCGTCCGGAATTAGAACCTATCCTTGAAGCTAATTCCTAACTAACTGTAAGCGGTTTGATGGGTTGAATTTATTTTTAAGATTGGTTTTGCGCCTTTGTACCAAATAATGTGTATACACTATTTATCTAAATTGCAGGTACCCTCTCCAACGAGACTGCGGAATATCGAGCATGCAGATGCCTTCAAAACTTTTATCGGTTGGATCGTTTTGGTCCGTGCTCAGCCTGTCCACCACACGGTTTTGTTTGTGAGAAAGATACAGCAGTACTTGCTCCTAACTTCTTCTGGAAATGGTCAAATCAGTTTGAAAAAGAATTCTTTAAAGGTTTTGTTAATAACATCCACTCTTCTAAACAAGACTACGACAAGTTATATTCTACGTTTAATACTTTACTTCCAAACCCACTCAAATGTCCTTATGCCAGGTCTTGCGAGGGTGGAATCGACTCTAAATGCCACCATGGATATAAAGGAGTTCTGTGTGCAACCTGCTCTAACGGCTTTTATTTCCGATTTCACGCTTGCTTGAAATGTCCTCGGTTAACTCTAACAGTTACTTCATCCATCTTGGTAATTTCTCTTTTTGTTGCTGTGTTTCTAATGGTTCTTTGGGGTGACTCCAAACGTGCAGAGAATAACCGGACGGTTGCAGATGTCGTCATGTCGTGCTTTAAGATTGTGATTGGTTTTTACCAAGTCATTGCTGGAATTTTCTCGGCATTAGCGAAAGTCCAGTGGCCAGTCATTTTGTTCTCAACGGAGAAGGTTCTAAAAGTGTTTGAAGGGAACATCTTGCAGTTTGCGCCACTAAGCTGCATTCATTCTTCCCTGCGTCTCGATGAGCTCGGAAAGTTCACAGTGATCGTTGCTTTAAATGTCCTACTTGTCGGCTTGATTTGCCTTTATCTTTTCGTTAAAAGAAGCTACATTATAAACAAAACCGACCGTACCGAAAGCCAAAAAATGAGGGAAATTAAGAGTTTGAAGAAATCTTGCTATCGGAACATTTTCCTATTGTTGTTAACGACCTACCCCACGACGAGCAAGTCGATTATTCAGATTCTACCTCTTCCCGGTGCGTGTGTAGAAACGTGTTTCTCAAACGAAAAGCTCGACTGTATCTTCCTGCTGAGAGCTGACTACTCAATCAAGTGTTTCACTCCTCGCCACAGCTTGTATTGGCTCATGGCCTCTCTTCTGGCATTATATCCCGTAGGATTTCCACTTTTGGCTTTGTTTCTCACTTACAAATATCGTGAGTCCCATGAAAACGAAGCAGTCTCTTTCGGGCTCAGAGTGTTCTTTGAAAACTACAAGAAGAAATTTTGGTTTTGGGAGGTTACAGAGATGTACCGCAAACTGATATTGATCTCACTGATTTTCCTATTTGGATCTAAAAGCCTTACTCAAATCGGTCTCACAGTTCTGACAGCCAGCGTCTTTGGAGTGCTCTACACCGTATTCCGACCAATCAAGGACAAGTTTGAAGACCGCTTACAAACATTTGTTCTTTGGATAATTTTCTTTGATGTTTGCCTAGGCGCTGTTTACACAAACTGGGATGAGAATCAGGGAGAGGACAAGAACGACTCCATCTTCGTAAATTTCCTGTTTCTGGTCCTTAACGCTTCTGTATTGTTATTTGCCATTGGTAAGTCATAGTGCTGCTCTTTACGTTTTATCAATTAATTTAACTTCACATTCACAAATATCAAAAGTGCAAATAGCAATTACCGGGAAGTTTTAAGGAAGTGGGATGTCTAAATGTCGTTTCTGTGCAATTTAGTATCATATGTTGTGTATATTTAGGCATTTCCACTTTGCTTTTTCATATTGCTTCATATTTTATCATTCCCGTTTTTAGTTATGTTATCACTTAGAACTAAGTGTTTTTGTATTCTTAGAGCAATTACTTCGGAGAAAATCTTGCATGTTATGGTATAAAAGCAATGAATGCAACATAGCTGGCACTCTTCGGTAGAAAGCTTTCCAGTTATCGTTTGTCATACAAGCTAATTGGATTAGTAAATAACATTGGTTGTTCAGATCACTAAGTTGTCCCTCAGTCATTCAAGCAGTCGGCACGAAAACTGTCCATATATATCTTGCTTGAGAGTCATGCCTTATCAAGTGCTAAGAAAACGCCTCAGTGAATCTAATAAGCTTCTATTTCATACATACTGAGATTAATACTGTGAATTACTATTGTTCGTGTCTCTGATTGGACGAAAGATGTATTTTCACAATCGTTCGCTTCCCATCTTTGAAATGGATCGGTCATTAAGAAAAAATGACGAGAATGCACTCCCTCCCGTAGCCTGAGACAAGTCAAGAAGAATTGTTATTCAAAAAAAAAGTCAGAAGGCGCGTTATTGGGAAATTTTAGTTAACCTTAAGAGGTTTCTCGTTAACACTGTACATAGAAAAAAACAAATGTCACTGAATAATTGATTATTATGTTATTCTGTTCTTATCTTTAACTGCGTCAGGAAAGGGAATATCACATGTGAAATTAATCCGCAAGTACTTTTCCTTCTGCCCGATGAGATGTTTCAATTCCCTTCGCCAAGGACTGGCGCTTCTTAAGAATAAAGCGGTCACCACAACACCTGAAGAATCATTCTTGATCTAGGATGGCACCTAAGAGCCTCGCCGATACATTTTATCTATAAAGTTGTAACATATCTCGAAAAAAAAAAACGACAACAATAACAATAAGAACAACACCAACAACAGAAACATAGTTGAGTTGGTTTACCTTGGACGGCTTGATTACTTCTTTCGCGTTATCGTTCATGATCAAGCTTTAACACCCCACCCCTCGGCAACTCAACGGCTTTTGACAGTCGTCCGTGCCCTAAGGGTGCGCAATTTGAACCTTGCCTAGCTGGATGGGAAATTTGAAACGGAAGTGTTTAGTCTTTCCATCGAAATACAAGCGTTATATCTTTAAATATCGAGGTGCTTAAATCTAAAGAATTAACTTTCGCCAGCGAAACCGGCTAAGAAGGAGAGGTGTGCAATCTTAAGGTATTAAAGCTTAGTCAATGTGAAGAAAGTCAGATCACGGTCGCCGATCTTGCATTTTACCCAAAAAATTGACTATTAAGTCCAGCACTTGGTCAGGGCATTTGAACACGATTCAGCCTGGCCCCGCATACGGGAAATTGAACAAATCAGCCTTTAAAAGTTCAAATGGCTGGAGTTTGGGGGTTGGCCAATGTACGGCTAACAGTTAATATCTCTTCATTGCGGTCACCAGAATTTTTTTTCACCGTTTTCTTTTTTTAAGGGCTAACGGTTAAAATTTGTCATTATTTTTGCTTAATGGCAGGCTGTTCTTTTGGCCTTTTTACTGCTATCGGTTAACCTCATTGCGAGCCTTTTGAAGTTTGTTATCACAGAAATTGTTTCCTGTAATTTACTATTTTATGAAAATAATATTTTCAATTTAAGTATTAACATTAACCATGTTATTGATATTGGTGTTTGCATTATCATCGTCATTTACTGACAAGAATGAGCGCACTAGTTCGTGTCTATATTTCTTTTAAATATTTTTCTTCGGTAGGTAAACTTGTCTTTTTTCTTCTTAATAATAATGTATCGCGAATTAAAATTAGCTTAACGGCGGTTTAACCATTTCATAAAAAAATGGTGTATTTTACAACAGGGCAGACAATAAAATAATGTGAAAATAACGTGGAAGTAATCATAAACCTATTGTAAGTGTGTAAAAGGACGAGAAATGGAATTATGCCATAGTTCTTGTACTGTTGTTCAGTAAAGTTTACACATATAGAGTCTATATACGCTTTATACTTCATAATTTTCATAACTAAGCCCAGACTACCAACGTAATTTTGGATTTCCGCCTGGGTAGATTTTTGGTCACTTGCTAGGCAACGTATGATCAAGAACTAGATAGAATTTCATTTTAGGCCTATTTATCAATTTTGTGGTGTATAACTTTCGCATTTTAGTACGTAATATTTATTTCGAATCTTCAAATTGCCTTGAAACTTAAAAGAAAATTGTTCTTTAAAAATTCACTGAAAATTGGTAGCCAAAATTATTTGTTTAGATGTTATTTGATTTTCGTGTTAACCTGTAATTTCGTCAGTCGCCGGCACCTTTTGTTGCTTCACACAGGGAAAGCACACGATACGAAATGTAATGCTCGATTTTGTCCCCAAGCCATAACAGAAAAAGCTTTTGAACACCTGTAAACTCCGAGCCCTTTGGAGTAAGTGATATTTTTTAATGAATCTTCGGATTCTTTTCAAGTTCAAGGATTGTAAATTACAATTTTATGAAAAACGAAGGTTGATCTCTTATTTCAGTGTGAATCCTTGCACGCCTGCCAGTCTCTGGCGCCGCTTATTAAAACTAAAACGAAAACGAGATTAAATAAATACATTAGGAAGACTTATCTGTCGTGTTCTGTAGGTTACGAAGAACGAACCATTAAAGACTCTTACTTCAAAACAAACGATGCCAGTATATTTGCCAGGCTACACTCTGAACCATTTACGCCGAAGATCTTCGGCGTGGATCTTTGCCTTTTTCCGTATAATCCTTAAAATATCTTGGCGTACATTTAGCAAACCTTCGCCGTGACCTTTGAGTGGAATGCACCTTGCTATATTCGGCGGGCTGAGTGGTTCACTTACGCCAACAGAATATATTATGAATACAAAACAGTCGAACGTCGATACATCCAAAAAGAACCAAGAATAAAAGCTATAGCCAAAGAAAAAAGCCATTTCTCAAGGAAGTCGACTCCCTTCCAGTTCAAACACGACTTCGCCACGACTTCGGCACTCTCACGATGTACACTAATTTGAGCCCGCGATAGTCCGCGCTTTGATTTTTTTTTTCCACTGGTCTGCGGCTAAACAAAGAAAAAAAGTTCACAGGAATCGACCAAGCGCTTTTTTCCCCCACACACCTTCTATACTCATAAAGGCTACGCATTCACTCGTAAAAATGATCGCAGAGTAAAGAAATTCGCTACAGCAAATATGGCCAAAATGGTAATGGTCTGTCGTTTTGTTTGTCTATGAAGTTTGCATACAAAACCATTCCGGCCTTAAAAGGTTAATTTATCTGTGTCCTTATCAATTTTAACCATATGGAATGTTTTAGACTGAGAAACGTGTCTGTGAATATTTGGGCTGTTGAAACACAGATAGTGGATTGTCCTATATGATATGATTCCATCGGACAGAAAACATCATTCCGTTATAGAGTGCTCCGGGAATTGTACCCATTTCAACTTATGATAATCTAAAGAAGACACACACCGGTGGTCCGATTTTAGACACTAGTGTCCTACTTTAGACACAAGCTACTAATTTTGAACATTAATGTCCAGTATTAGACTTAAGTGACCAATTTTGTACACCACTGTTCGATTCTGGATGTCTGGATGTCTGATTTTAGCACAAGATTCTTATTTTAGACATTAGCATTCGATTTTGGAAATTAATAATGGTAATTACACTGAAAGGAGTCCAATTTGGTATGTAATAATACGAGCGATTAAGCAAATCGAACGACCGTGAAGCGGGAGTCTGATTTGTTAATTACGACTCGCTAGTTGCGAAAGTACCTTTCTGCTTTCCTCCTTTCAATTTCCTGCAAGAGCAGGGCAAGTATATAGCGATAAAAGGCACGTCATTGATTCTGGGAGGGAGGGGCTGGAATCAAAAGGGGGGGGGGGGGGGGGGGGAGTACAACAATATGTCCAATGTTCATAGAAATAAGTACCTTAATGTCACATTCCGTTGTCGCTTATCAGGGTTTCATCTCATTGTCTATCACTTATATTAATTGCCTAGGGTTAGGAATTTAGGTTACAATTTTATAAATCATTATCTTTGAAGTTGGGGGAAGGGAAGCATTTGTGAGCGACAGCACCAGATGTGTAAAGTCAGGAATACTAAATTGAGCAAATTACGGCATTAGATGTGAATAATGAAGAATGGTCAAATTAGTTCTCTTTTTCAAATTATTGTTTGCAGTCTCTTTTATGGTAAAAGACTATCATTAGTCTCTTATGCACCTGTTTCGAATAAGGTTGTCGGGAAGAGCGTAAAAGTGCACGCAGTAAACCCGAAAGGTAATGAGAGTAGTTTTTAAGAACCTTCTTTGACCTGAGGATTTCAAGAAAATCTAGCTGAGAAAATGTCACTTTAAGGACGAAGCATAGCGAGTTAATTTATTTATGCACTTTTGTTTTGTTTTGTTTTGTTTTGTTTTGTTTTTTTCCGGTAACCTTTCTCGAAACTGCTGTATACCAGCGAATAAGCCTCCTTGGCTTCGCTTTGGAGTGAGAAATTGGAGTGAAACATATTTTCGAGGTTAGAAAGGCTAGTATACGTAAATATATGAAGATAACAGTAAGGCTCGCCATAAAGAGAGAGATGTAGGCCGTCCAGTGAAAGAGTGTCTCACGTTAATATTCTTATATTGATACACTCTCTGCGCATGTTTAAGTTCTAGTCGCTTACACAGACACAGCGGAAAAGAGAGCGCATGCTTGAAACGCGTGCGAAAATTTACGCACGAAAAGGAACAGGAATGACAATATTTCCATAGTAACACTGTAGCGGCGGTATGGCGGCATTTGTTTGTTTTTATTTCGCGGGAATAAGCCTTACCCTGAACAGATAAGGTTCCCACTTTCGAGAAAGTTTCTTTCGAACCTGCTCTGCAACATATCTTTTCCAACAAAAAAATTATTCAGGGAACAGGTGTGAATTTTAGTATCGAAATGGAACAGTCGTAACATGGCAATAAACTTCGTAGCCCGTGTTATTGTTATGGCACTTGTTTTTATCGCCTCCTCAGTATGGTAAACCGCCCAGGGAAAAGGTTTGTTGTTTGAGAGAAAAAACACGCCATAAATCTTCTTTTAGAGGAAGCATAATTGCCTTTAACACTGAAATAACACAAGTGGCGGATGTGGGACCAGGAAATGTTGTGTGAATATATTAATGGCCATGTCATTATCAGCAATTCGAAACAGGAGCAACATCTGAACGTGCCTAATACCTTCGCATTCTTCCACTCTGAGTAATAAACCTATTCCCACGAGACTGTACAAACTATTTGACAAGGCTGGAGAAAGTGAGGCTTCTTATCAACCAGGGACGCTATGGTGCACAAGTTGTTGGAGAAATGCCGACAAAACGTTTGCCTCGAGACCACTTTACTTCAGATAGTTATATTCAAAGGCTTTCGTTTCCTGCTGGATATTCTGGGTTTACATACTTCACTCATTTACATAAAGCAAATGATCATCTTGTTTCCATGAAAAGATAAATAACTTAAACAAAAATCGTTCATACAAAATGGAGATGGAGTGCCATGCAAAATTCAGTGGGAGTGCCAAGCAGATTCGACAGATGGTCAATGGGATTAACAAGTTATAACAGTTAAATTTATGATGCAAAACATACTGCTCTACCCCAATTCAATAGCTTAACAAAGAGAGTCAGGAAATTGTTGAACAAGCTGGTACATCCAATTTCTCAACATTAATCACCAGGCACAAGTAAGTACCTTATTTATGCCTTAACATAATCTAAGAAAGGTAACCAATACACCATGTTGCTAATAATCAGAGTTATGCAATGATTTTACCTGCAGGGTTAAACATCTCCACGACGACATCAATCAGGTAATAATATAAAACTGATAAAGGTTCTGCATTGTGCTTATATTTCACAAGTAAACGCATGTTAATTGTTGAATATGTTTCTATATAACTCACCGAGTGGTCAAATACATTATTATTGCATTTTCTGTGTAATCTTGCGGAGTTGATGGAAAATTTCAGTCAGCCTTGTACAGGCACTATGTGAGTGGGGTTCTATCTCTATACAGATCAGATGATATGCAGGCACTTTGTGAGACTCATGCACCACATCTCTTTTACATCCTCATCAGTACAATAGTGAGTGCAGATAGACATCCCACCAGCGAGAGGCATTCACATTTACAGCAGCAGAGAATAGTTGTACTACTTCACATGTTGCCTTACTTTAGGTATTTACTTATTTCAGAGCACAGAAAGGCCTGCTTCACACCAAACCACTTTTCAGTTGTGGGTAACCTTGCCACCAAAGATCTCAAGGTTCTCACCTTACCTGCCTTTACCTTTTACAATCACGTGATCAATCTCAACAACAAACACCATCAGTAGCTCAACAACAGTTTTCTAACTTAAGTGTACCACCACAATCAAACTTGAATACATGTTCCATCTTCAACTACACAATCAGTCACATTCTGGGAACTGCCAGC